ACCGACTCTGGCGGTAAACCCATCTCCTTGCAAATTTCCGGACATGGGATGCAAAACAGTTCATCCGGATACTCGCGCCCTTGTAAAAAGGCGCCGCTCACATCACCTTTCATGATGCGCCAGCGGCGGTTTGCGGCAAGCTGCAAAAGAAGTTGTTTCGTCTGTCGCGTCATAACAGGAGCTGTTGTCGATCTATGTTCGTAGGCGGGGTCCTGGTACCCGAGCAGGACTGCTCGGGCTTTGGCTTTCGGAACCCCGGAATCCTGCATTTTCCATGTCAGGATCCATCTCATTCCCACAGCCTGCTCTTTACTGGGCTTCAGATTGTCTGGCAGGGCCTCGAAGGCATTGGCGGCCAAGAAATTCTTGACTTCGATCATCTTGGCTGCCTTGAACTGCTCTCGTTCGCCAGGTGTAAGTCTCTTCTCGGAGACTTCCACGGCGCGCTTCTTGAGCGCGCTGGCCAGGTAAACGCCTAGGTCGCGTGTGGCTTGTTCCCAGCGTCGCGGTTGATCAGGCATCTCAATTTCCACGGCCACTGCTGCCTGTTCATCAGCCCAGTGGCTTGTATCCTCGCTGCGCCATGCCTCTGCTTTGACTTCGGACCACCAGCTGTAGCCCTGCAGGGTATCCTGTGGGGCCGTCTTGCTGCTGGAAGAAGTCGCCTCGTCTCGGCCTGCCAGCTTGGGCACACCGTCTTTGTCCGTGACAAACAGCTCGTCCATGGATTCCTCGGCTGTGGCGTCCGGTGGTGGTCGCTTTCGGCTCACTCGGAACCGTGAGGGCGTTGGCTCCTGCGTGGTATCTTGAGCTCGGCGCCATTCGCCTTCATCAGGAATCTCATGGCTGATGTCCTCATACTGGTTGCCGCCCAATTCCTTGGCCAATCGCCCATAGGTCCAGGGCGTGCTCTCGTCCTCCGCCAGTGCTTCCACAATTTCTTCACGGGTGCTGGCCGGCCTGAGTTGTTCAGGGCTGCACTTTATCAGTTGACGACCTCGGACGCACCATATGGCGTGTCCGCTCCTCTGGTTCCCGCTGGCGTCTCGGCGGCTCTCGGTCGCCAACACTCGCGCGGGTCCTAAGAAGCGGCCATGACGAGTCCCGGGACTGCGTTTGCTTTGCCCGGATTCCTGTGTCCGCCAGAAGTAGACTAAGTCGCCAGGCTGATACTGTTGCAGAGGTCTGGTCCGTGAGTTCAAAGCCTTGGTCACACGCTGTTGGGCTGTCCAATCTGCCAAAGCCTTTTCTGCTTCGGCTCGAAGTTGTGCCTGACGCTTCATCTCGGCAGGAGAGTCATTGAGGATGGGTTCCTCGGGCGGTAGTCGCCCGGTCTGCACATGACTGCCCGTGGCATCCGGACTGTGACCCAGCACGTGCTGCGTCGGTGAAAAACCCCTGATCAGCTCTCGCTGGTTGAAGGTCGACACTGCCAGGCTCAAGCATTCTTCGGCGCTCGTGTCCGGATCGGTGGCAATCAGTTTATCCATCAACTGCTTCACTCCTTGAATGGCCTGTTCGGCCACTCCGATCTGCCAATGCGCTTCCCCTGGTATTATGTCAAGATAAATGCCATGGCGGTCACAGAAGCTTGACATATGCTCTCCACGGAAGCTTCCGGCTGGATCGAGCCGAAGAGTCTTCGGCTTCCCAAAGACCTGAAACCATCCCTCCGACAAGTAGTTGGTACAAGCTGCCCCATTGGGCGTCTGTTTATTGCCTTTCGTCAGAATTCTGGCAATCCGAAATCTCGAACCCTCATCCACAATCAACATGAAGTTCTGATGTTCGTGGGTCTTCGGATGCATCCAATGCCCGATGTCCGCCGACACAGTATGAAACTTTGGGGGCAGGGGTTCTAACGACGCCACTTGTCGGGGTAACACCTTCTGTTTTTCTTGGCACACGGAACAAGTAAACTCTTTGGCTAACTTGATCACCAAGGGCTTAGCATTACGCCGTTTCAGGGCTTCCACCATGTGCCTATTGCTACCATGTCCCGTCGCCGCATGTAACAGATAGAGTTTCCGCTTGATGGCTTCTGCTTCCTTGTTACTTTGGGATTTCAGGGGTCCTGACCAAGCGCCTCTACCTTTCACGACCATGGCCTCATCTCCTACTTTCGGCCAAACACCTGGAAACCCCAAAGTCTTTAACGTCTCCTGAACTTCCGAACCAACGACATCCCAACCCCGACTAACGAAGGCACTTATCACAATACGGTCTCCATGCCAAGCCTCTGTGGCGTGCCATTTCTTCGCATCGAACTGGACCATTCGTTGTCGGGTCTCCAGGGTGTGTCCCAGGACCGTTTGCCCATTGGGCAACACCTTGGAGCTGGCTTTCTGACGGCTGTTCCCCGGGGGTCCCTCTATCCAGAGACCTCCGTTTTGGTACGCGGTTACTCCTATGAGACTATTGTTGTGGCCGGGCCTATTGTGATGATCTTTGTGTATCCTCAGAGTACCGTTGTCATTGATCACAAAAGACGTGCATTCCAGAGGCTTCTGAGCCCAGTGGCTCAAGTACTCCAGGACGTACCTACACACCTTCGGGAACTTCAGGGTACTTTTAGTGATGCCGTAGTGATTGCCATACGCATACAAGCCAAAGGTCATGTACCTAGCTCGTTCTTCCAGGACAACACTACGGTGGTTCTTAAGGTGGTGTGGGGGAAGCTCTCGGATCAGTTGTTCACAGGCCTTATGATGAAACTGTCGTTGTTCGAGGAACCTCTGAGCCTTGGCTTCCACCTGTTCGGTTTGGGCCTCGGAGAACCTGGCTTGGCCTACTTCTCCTACCACGAAAGTGTCCCCTGAATGATCTTCCTCTGAACCCAACGGTTCCTCCAACTCTTCAGGACCAACACAATGAGCCGCTTCAACTTGTGAACCCACCTGAAGCTGACACCTACCCTTCAGACAACTGGAACACTCCTGCCGCACCTTTGGAAGACATACCTCCCCGCACGTACAAAACTCCCCTTCTCCAAATCCCTGAACTAAAGACGTACCCCCGGTGCACTCCTGAAGAGTGGCTTCATACGAGAGCTCGTGTTGGAGCACTCGGCTCAGTCGCTGTCCGAACTCTCTGGTGTAGTAGTCTTTGTTTGGGTTCGGGTTGTTCGTACAGGGTCCATGCTGGTACTGTCTAGGACATCTACAGGGCAAGTTGAGGCCTTCGGAAACTCTTTTGTGGGACGTAAGGATCTTCCATCCCTGTTGTATGAGGGGTCCATCTTTCCTGCTTCTATGGTTCACCGCGCAACCTCTTGTGACTGCCGTGTGCAAACCGTACTTATCCCTAAGCTGGTTCAACAGTGGCAACCTCCAGGCCTGACACTTCTCTGGCATTTCCCAACTCACGTGTATACCCAACTGAACGCACAAATGAACTACGCAGGCACACGCTACAAAGTGTCGCAAGGCCTCGGCTCGTCGTACCTGTAGCTCGTCGCGCTGTGCCTCCGTTTGTTGTTGGAGGTTGGTCAAAGGACTATACGCCCCCGTCGCTGGTGCCAGCCACACATGCTGCGGCTGTTCCAATCGGATACGATCTAGCAACAACCTCAGTCCCTCCTTAGTGGTCAGGTCGCACCCGTTCCATGGTCCGCAGTGCACGGCAGCTTCTGAGCTTTTTGCACGTTCCTGCACTGCCTGAGTGAGGTGGGTATCTGCATGATGACTATACTGCAGCAAAACGGGACGATTATAGCCCACCAGATCCTGAAACAAACCTGGCACCACATTGGAACCCTGTTCCTCCAGGGTTCTAGACTGTTGCTCACTAAGCTGCTTGAACCGCGTAGATTGACTTCGTAACTGCTGGCTAAGTTTCGCAGACGCACTATATAAGGATTGGACCTGGCCCCTCGTCCGCATCTAAGCCTGCGGCGGTTCCGCTCACTCCTTCGACGGCTTGCTCGTCGGTGGCGTATGGATCAGGAAAACGAGGCGTCGGATTCCGTCATCTCGGAGTCCGGGGCCTCCTTCTGGTAGCCGCTCTGCTTGCGCAACTTTTCCCCTTTCATCTCCCGGAGCTCGTTCTTGATCTCGCTCAGCACTTCGGTGAGCGCCTCGATCTTCTTGTCCTGATCCTTCATGTGCTCGTGACTGCTCTGGGCTCCGGCCGACGGATACGTTGCTTCCTCCACATAGGTCTCGTAGTCCTTCGTCGGGGGAAAGATCACTTTGGCCTTCGTCTTGGGCTGTGGCTTCCTGGAAGCCAACACTTTTCCCTCCAACCAGCGGGCCAAACGATACAACCTTGGGTCGCATCCGGTTCCTGGGTTCTCCCGTGCTGTCTGAAGCACCCATTGCGCATAGTTCTCGAACTCCGGCAGGAGCATGTCCTGGTAGTGCATCGTACTGTTCTTGCCGAAGCCGATGATGTCGCCCGCCTCCGGCACCTCGGTCGCATAGATGATCTTCAGGACGCGGGCCTCCAGGATGGCAATCGTGTCGTTGCGATTCACTTCCATCTGGTACTTCTCGGTGCATAGCTTTACCAGATCCACTTTCTTCTTGGCTGCTTTGCGCACCTCCTTGACGGCGGCTTCGGTCGCCGTCATCTGAGGTCCACGTGGCAGGGCATCCACATCGTCGCCTTGCAACTCGAGGATTCTCTGACGAATCTCCAGTTTGGTCCACTTGTGGTAGGCGTGCTCGTGGTAAACCTCGAAGAGATGGGATTTGAGCTGCTCCTTGGTCATCGCATTCATCTTGCTCAGAGCCAGGGCCATGCCCCTCACACCGAGGAGGGGAATCGCTCACAGGACGGCTGTCTTGACACGAAGTTTGCTCAGTCAGCACAGGTTTCTGAGGCTGGGTCACATACACAGCCGGAGAAGCAGATTGACTAACACTAACCCCACTATAACCAGACCCGTTCACAGCCATCTGTACAAGACTGGGATTCGGTTTGGTCTCTACCCCGGGTTCCGCAAAAAGTCGCTGGTCCTTCATTTTCCCCGCGGAACTAGAGAAATGAAGGAGCTGTCCCTAGCCCTCTTCAGCCAGGTACTCGCGCAGGCTCGGGATGGCCAGCTTCGTGGCCTTCGCCTGCTTCATCAAGTCGTCGGTCATCGGTAGCAACTGGTGTCCTGTGGCAGACCTTTCGACTTGTATCACCTGATTAGCATCCAAACTACGAAAACAAACTAGGTCCTCAGCAAAATCGACAATGGCGCCCAGCTTCCTCAATGAGTCCACGCTCAAAAGCAGGGGGCCACTCCCATGATCCAAGCAATGGACCTTCAGGACTCCCGGCGCACTGTTCGCGGCGATCTTCAACTGAACTGTTGACGCGCATTGATTCTCCGAGCCGTTTCCGAATCCGAACACCGGCCTCTCCTTCAGGTCGACTGCGGCCACGCCGTTGTGGCCATGCTTGGATTGGTTGAGGGCCATGATGGCTTCCATGGCCGAGATCGAGGCCAACGTACGAGTGGCCCCGCCGTCGATCACGGCCTTCCCTTGGTGAACGGCTTCTGCCGTAGTGATCCCGGCCACGTAAGCTGCCTCATTCTCCACGTCGTTGAAGCAGATGAATGACGAAGTGGCCTCCACCTGTTCTGCCACCTTGGCACTGGGTGGAGGCTGGGGGCAGTTTGCAATGCGATGCCCCTGCTTTCCACATCGCATGCACGTCATCTTGCTATCATCGGGTACTGTACCGCCCTTGCCGCGGCCTCCTCCAGAGAAGCCTTTGCCTGAGGCGCGATAGTACTGCCGTGACATGCGGACGTTGTGCTGGCGGGCTCGGGCAGCCCTTAGTGTCCGCTTCGCTTGGTCCATGGCTGCCATGGCACTCTGGGCATCCTCCTCTGCCTCGGCCACCATCGCGTACCCCTCCTCGTCGAGCTCGTTGTCGAACTCCTCGGCAATGAGGTCACTTGCTTCTTGGTCTGGCTCATCTGCGGCGGCGTCGCCTAGGAAGCCGCTCTGGCGGCCTCCTTGCTCTCTGCGTCGCGCTGCTTCCTGCCCGGACCATTGCGTCCGTAGCTCCTGGGCGACTCTTTGGAGAGTGAACTCTCCTCCCAAAGCCGCCATGATCACGTTGCGCTCGCTCTGGTCCAGACCGGAGTCTTGCAGCAGGTACCATCCCTGAACAAAATCTGGTAGCAGCTCTGGCATCGTGGTGGTAGGGGCCTCTCGAGAGGGTCTCCAGTGGTCTGGTGGCGACCACCCTGCATCTCGATCCCCGTAGTTGGCCCAACTGCCTTGGTAGTTGCCGTAGCCCCCGTAGCTTCCACACCACCAGTTCTGACTGCCTCGCCACTGCCAGTTATAGCTGCTCCAAGCATCCGGGCCCTGCTCCGATGTTTCATGCTCCTCATCATCATCATCGGCCGCTCCTGTGGCGCTCACAGGTGCTGCGGCCTGAACCTCCGGAGCGGCCTCTGTGGGGGCGACTCCTGCTGAGTCCCAGCTGGATCGCCGGCTCTGAAGGCCTCGGTTGGTCCCGGTAGTCGAGGTCGGTCCTGTCGTCTCATGATGTGGTATGACTCGCTGTAGAGCTTGGCATGCACGAAGATACACCTCACATTTCCGAGTGATATAATCGTTCATGCTCTCATTGGGCCGTCTCCTCGAACTTTTGAAATATCTGTTCAGGTGCTCGGTCAAATCAGACACCATTGGCTTCCCCAAACAAGCTCGCAGGTGCTTCATAAGATCTTGCACTCCCCCGTTGTGCGACACCCAGTCATGTCGCTTCCCCGCGACAAGCCGTTTTGCGGCTCCGGTCAGCTCCGCCAGGAGCTTTGGGCCGCAGAGGTATCGCTTGTTGAGAGCAATAGACTGCTCCCATATCAGGGCCGTTTCCTCGAACTCCTGGAACGTCCCTGCTTCGCCATTCCAGATAGGCACTCCATCTTTCGATCGGGCAATCTCTGTCATGATTGCTCACTTCACTCTCGCTACAGACTCTTGTCCTGCAGAGGGAAAATATCGCTCAGCAGTATAGGTCCCCGGATCGGTTTTGGAGCCACAAGGGCTCCGCTACCATGAAAGTCTGGTAGCTGACTGAAGTCTTCGAGTGCTCAAGGAGAACGAAAGTCAGAGGAACCCAGTCACGGAGGCCTGATGGCTCGGCTAACGGAGCTACAGCGGCCTCTCTTTTTGGGCTCCCTTTCTTGACCTGTCGAATCTGCGTCGGGAGATACACCGATGAGGCTTCCACCTGCGGTGAGGAGGTTCATCGTACAAGTGATTTCACTTGCAGGGTTTAGGGTTTAGGGCCTATGGTTTGTAGGGTTTAGGGCCCGTAGGGTTTAGGGTTTAGGGCATCGGGTTCAGGGGTTTAGGGGTTTAGGGTTTGCAGGGCTTGCAGGGTTTAGGGTCTACGTTTTCAGGACCCAGTGCCGGTAGGCTATACTGGAGGGTGCTTTTTCAGGGTCCGTTTTGGTGTAGGTCGGGATTGCAAGTTACGGGCTGCCGTAGATTGAGGCTGTAGGGATTCAAGAAATAGGTGTTTCCTGTTTAGTGCTTTGAGGGTCCAGGGTATAGGGTTGAAGAGTCGTCCTACTGGTTCGGTAGTGGGTCTTGGTAACTCCCGAAAGTGGACTGCTGTTGATTGGCCAACTGCCGTCCTGAGGCCTGGCACGTAGATCTTACCTGTAGTCTCCATTGTAGTTCCTTTTTTGGCTATCCAATTTTATGGTTAGGAACCTATAATAGAGTTTTTGGTTAACCAAAAAAAGGAACTACAATGGAGACTATAGGTACTTGATCTTGCTTGAAGACTCGTTGCCGCCAGGGTCGACTGACACTGGTTTTACCGCGAAGCCACCGCTGGGACGAGGGGCTCGATTTGAAAGAATGGTGCCAAAGGTATCGTACTTTCAGACATGGCCACAACTAACGGCAAGAACCCCACCGGGTAGATGAATGAAAGAGCGACCTTCACCGACTGGAAGCTTTGGCGCTTGTAGCCTTGTTCCAGAATCAACTTTGTTTGCAAGGTCCCGCAAAGTCGTTGTCAGGGTTCTCATTAGCGCCCTGCAGAAAAGCAGTACGTTGTGGTGGGTTGAGTTTTGCACGTGGCTTCCTACGGCGGTAGGAACTGTTCTGAGTTGTTGTAAACCTTAAACCCCAAACCACCAAAGGCCCTGGACGATTTAGGGCTTAGGTGTAGGAGATTTGGTGGTCTTTATAAGAGCACCTGGGCATGTGATTGTATAAATGCCTTTGTGGTTTCTGGTTGATGGGGGTGAAACGAGCTGTGTCAGCTTTCATGCAATTAAGGTTTTTCGATTTTTACTTACAGGGTTCGGGGCTTTAGGGGTTTAAAACACTTAAACCCACTACCGGTAACCCCTAAACCAGAATCCCTAAATCCTAGACCACAACGTTGGAAGCCCTAAGCTCCCGAACGCGGAAACCCTAAATTCGGCACCTTGTGCCTACAGACTTACCTATATTGTTCCATCCGGTTCCTTACTATGACTAAACCATAAAGGGGCCCAACACCCTATTCTAATCATTAAGGCCCCTGCAGTCATATGGGTGGTTGTCAAAATTATGGTCCCTTTTTGGGTCCCTATTATAATACGGCACCATGTAGTTAGGGTACCCAAAAAGGGAACCCTAATTTTGACAACCACCCATATATCTTAGGCTACAAGTTCGGCGAGTTCGACCAGTTTCCACTTCCTCAGATGCTGTCGTCCTCGATGGAGGAGGTCGTGCTGCAGTCGAAGGCCGGCCCTTGCTTGAAGGGCTTTGGGTTAAGGGTTTCCGGTTTAGGGTTTAGGGTTTAGAGTTTAGGATTTAGGGTATAGGGTATAGTAGAAGGGCTTTGGGTTTAGGGTTTCCGGTTTAGGGTTAAGGGTTTAGGGTATAGTAGAGAGTATTGGGTTTAAGGTTTAGAGTTTAGGGTTTAGGGTATAGGGTATAGTAGAGGGTAGTTGGGGATACCGAATCCTCAGGAAGTAGGAAGCCTGAACAAGAGTAAATACCGATGCTTGGGGTTCTCTTTTGCAGTTTAATTGAAACTGAAGCCTCGCCCTCATCAAGGCTCCTATATCAGGCCTAGGGTTTAGGGTTTCGGGGCTTCACGGTTCAGGCTTGAAGGTTTTCGTGACTGGGATTCAGGGTTTAGGGCTTTCCGGTGGTCTGTTTGTGCTGAGTTGGTATGTCAAGAGCACGATCTTCGCCTGAACCCCACATGCCCAACACCTAAAGTAACAGCCAGAAAGTTGGAATATGGTTATCCTAAACCCTTTATGGTAAATTATAAGGTATCCTACCCTGAAACCATATTCCAACTTTCTGGAGTTCCCCTTAAGGGCTAAAGCCCTCTCGAGGCTAAAGCTTGTTGAAGTGTCGGATCTGGAACATGGGTCAAACTTATACTGTTATCTATATCCTACCAGGACCCTCCTTGTACCCTCAAACAGGGGTATATGGTCCCAAATAATGGGCATTTAGGGTCTAATAGAGGGTGGATGGAGGGTCTAGGTACATCTAGAAGCTTAGGGCTGTGGGGTATTGTAAGGTTGTCTTCAAGCTATGCTATCATGGCCATGTTGCAGCTGTTGGCCCATGCACGCCTTTCCGGCGCACCCGATCCCAAATGCCCGTAATCTTATCTAAACATTAATAAAATCCTCACCTTCCAAACCCGAGCCAAGCGAAACGCAACCCCAAACCCTGACAATCCTGAACCTTAAAGCCTGAAGTCCTAAACCCACTATAAAGCTCTAGCCCTAAAGGCTCAAGATAGCCCAAAAGCCTTATATGTTATGGCCTTTTTTGGACTCAGAAAGCCTTTGAATAGGCGCCCCTAGAGCCCCTTGGGTAGTAAAATAGCTCGGGCCTTATGATAATGATAGTCTAATTCAATACCTAAACCCAAAACCCTAAACCCTAAACCCTAGAACCTAAACCCTATAAACCCCAAACCCTAGTCTAAGTGTTAAGGCCCCTCTAGAAACTGCACCAAATTAACCCTTGGCCAGCCTTGACTCCCTTCCCAAAGGGTCCAAGTATCATTTGAGGGTCTAAGTATATACCATAATGATACTTGGACCCTTTGGGTTTGCAGGTCATCCACGGTGGATCGAACACCGAAATCTCCTCGATGCTCACGAACTCCATGGCTGCGCCGCAGCCACAGGCACGAGGGCGTTGTAGGTTTCAACCCTGGAAAACCTATTTTTTAGGGATCTTAGTGATATTTTCCTTATGTAAGTCCATAAAAAGGTAGGATATTCAGGGTTAAGATAGGGTTTAGGGTTGAAGGGGGTGTTCGGATTGAGAGCTGCGGAGTTTGCGCGTTAGGGTTGGGGGTCTACAAAGAGGTTTTGTGGTGTAGTGTAGAAACGCGAAGCAGCGTGCCAATACTCTCGTCAGGGCTATTTGTGTTAATTAATATACCCCCCAAACCCTATAGCTATATATGTATATACACATATATATATATATATATATATATATATGTATATGTACTTACGTACATACATACGTATTTGCCTACACACATACCTACATACATACATGCACAGATGATATGAATATACACGCACTATAATCTATACAGAAACTCTATTGTAACTAGTTTGCAGGCCCCTCCATCGCAAGGGCGTGGGATTTGGAGCTAGGGGAATGCGGGAGGTGTACGGGTGTAGGGTTGCGGGGTTTGAGGGTTTGGGGCTTCGGGTTTGTTGAGGGTTTAGGGTTTAAAGTTTACAGGATCTAGGGTTGAGGGGTTCAATGTTGGGGTGTTCAAAGTTTGGAGTTTATGGCTCAGGGGTTCTGAGTTGTTTTAGGGGGGGGGGGGTTGTCTGACTTATGGGTTTGGCAGGTTGAGGAACTACAGTTCGGCTCAGGACTCTTAGTTCGAGGCCTTGGGATACCAAGGACCTACTATAACAGGCTCTCCGGCTTTGAAGGAGGCTTGGACAGAAGGTTGAAGCGGTGGGTATGTTGCTTTTCAGAGATTTACTTCAAGCCGCTGGCCCCCTCCCCTCCTTGCGCGTGTAGCCCAAAGGTCACCCTAAACCTAAAGCAAGTTTTTGGTTTAGGGCTGCACAGGGGTTGATGAATACTGGACAACACTAGCAGCTGCAACCAGAACACATCAAGGTTAATGTTAACAAGGGGAACAGTCATGCCCATGTTACCTGTTAGTAAACCTTTACCCTGAAGTTTTACAATAGTTCCTAAGCATTTACCCCAAGGGTCCAAACGACCCAATAATTGGGAACTTGGCTTTTGGATAGACAGTTATGTAGGTTAGGCTTTTGGAGAGTCTATGACTATATTAGGTACTTGGACCCTTGTGGTAATGCAGGAACCTGATTAAGAAGCCCTGGGCCTGTATGGGGCTCTATAAGGGTTCCTTTAAAAGGTACTGAAGGGGTACTACAAGGATTTTAAACCTCGAACCTGGAAGCTTCAAAGCTCTGAACACAGGGACTGGCAAGAACCCTCCTAAACCCGACACCCTGAACCCGGAATAACCTAGCCTTTTACGGACTTATATAGGGAAACCATAATAAGGAACGAATAACCTAGCTTTTTAAGGACATATATAAGGAAACCATAATAAGGAACGAATAGCCTAGCCGTTTAAGGATTTATATTAATAAGGAAACCATAACAAGGAAGCCTAAAACGGTAGGTTCTTCAGGGTCTAGGTAAACCCTGAACCCTGATCGCTTCGCCCCTCTGCCTGCGCTGACGCTGCGAGGCCGTCCAGGCAGCTGTCAAGCTGCTGAAGGACCCGATTTGGGGCGTGGGGGCAGTGCAGAGGTTACTATAGTCTCCTCAGGATGTTTTAGTTGCGTTCATATAAAGCCCAGGAGAATATTCAAAGTTTGTTGTGTAGTTATGGTTCTAAGGAAGGTGTAGTTCAAAGGTTTAGGATTTCGATGTTTAAGGGCTTCGAGCTTGTAATTCAAGGCCGTCTTACAGTCATCGTAGTAAGGTCAATCGTTTTGCAAAGGGTTTCGGGTGTTGTGGTTTTGGGGACCTTGTATAAGTTTAGGATGTAGGCTTTAGGCTTGTGTTTATTTAGACTCCAATGTGGTTAGGCTTCAGTTGTTACGCCTAGAGGGCTGGGTAATTACCCTGACATTCCGTTTGGAACCTTCACACTAGACTGAAGAGGTTTACTCAACTTGAGCCGAAACGCTAAGCCCTGCCCTAAGGGTTCATCGGAATCAATGATTAGGCAGTCGGGTTCTAGTATTCGGGAGAGCTTTTGATTATGTGGTCTATGGGCCCTTAAATTAACCCTGAATCTACCCCGGCAGTGCGACAAAAGGCACCTGTGACTTCGAGCCTTCAGAGTCTTAAACCGAGCCGTGTATATTCCGGCTCATTAGAGCTGTGATTGTTTTTGGGGTGTAGGGTCAATCCAAAACACTGCTTTGGGGGTTGTAGGGCTTGGCGCATGATAGTGTCTGACTGCTTTTGTGTTTGTTTCATTTCACGTCTTGTTCTCATGAGTAAACTCAGTTGTAACTGTAAAAGTGTCGGTCTGTCAGCGTGAGTGTTACTGCTGCATTCTGTGACGTTCAAGCTTCGAGGGCCTACGTACGGAGCTCTCAAGCACTAAACCGCCAACGCTAAAGCTACAAAGAGCGCCACAACAATACAGAGGACTTCTGCATCTTTACCAGTAAGGTTCCCTTAGGTGTCGTCTCTTTATGCTACATGACACTAGAGTCACTAGAGTTTTTCCCCGAAGCGCAAGGCTCATCCTAGGGTCCCTGTAGTTGACTCCGAAAGCTTTCAAACGCTGATCTTTCACCAACTCAAAATCCCACAACTTTAAAATCTGGGAGAACTTTCCCTATACTGAGGAGTTGGCCCTAATGCAAGTCATTTCAGACCAGGACTGAGAGTAGATGGCGGGTGCAGGTAAACCATGAACTTCACAAACTTTCACCCTCTAAACCCAAAACCCTAAACCCTAAACCCACACCCAGCACATCCGAAGGCCTCGGCCTTACTAAGCCCTACCCTGCACTGCAGTACCTCTTCTTTGGTAACCTATTGTATGGTTAGAATTCTACGATATGAACTTTGAGGTAACCAGAACCGTACGGCATTTTAGGGAGTAGCCTAGTCCGGGCCAGGCCCCAAGACGCTGGGAAACCGACAAGCCCTCTAAGCTTTACATCCCAAACCCTGAACTCCAGACCAAAAACCCTTCTTTTTCCTCCAGCCCAAACTCCCCGGAGAATCTGAAACATAGGTCTCTTCAGAGGGCTCTTCTTTGGCACCCGGTTTAGGGTGCCACGTTTCGGATTTTGCTTCGTGATCCTCCCAGTCGCCTGGGAGTCTTTAGGGTTTGGGGTTTAGTTTCGGAGCTAAGGGGTTTAAGGGTTTAGGCAGCTGTGAGGACATGAACTGCCTCACGCGGGCTGGCGAGCTAACTGTTCTAGGCGCGTGATGCGCTGGGGAAAAACCCTTGACCCTGAAAAGTAGTGGAGTTTGGGGTCGGGATTCATGAACCCGAGGGACCCCCTCCTCTACCGTAAGGTTACCTTAACTATGTGGCTGCGGTAGCTTTTTGAGGATACTGTAGCCATCCGGTTGCCGAAGCTATACGGTTACCATAGGTATGAGGTCACTACGGTTACTCTCTCTGTGGTTCCCTTAGCTTGGACCTGACCGAAAGAAGGACAATGGCCGAACGTCTTGGTTCAGGATTCCAAGTCTTGTTCTCAGAGGTTGCGGGTCCACGGTTTGAGGGCTATCGGTTGTTGAGGGTCTATAGGGCTGCGGGTTCGGGGTTCAGGTTCGTGCTAGTAGTTTACGAGCCTGCAATTTTTCACTGTTTCGAAATCCGCAAGCCCTTCAAGCACTTGACCTGAGCTAGTTCTAGCACGCTGGCCGCGGAGTAGCATTCATTGTGCATCTCCAAATGTGGCAAGAATTTGGAAAATGAATGAATGAACGAATGAAGGAGCTATCTTTGAAAGAAAGGACCAATGAATGAATGGATGAATGAGTGGTCTTGAATCGAATGAAATGCCGCAAGAACTGGTATCAGCGGTTACAAGTAGAAGATAGGTAATTACACAGAGTTCTCCTTGTATGCATCATCTGTTGATAATCATACATGTACATGGGGTAGTTTCCGAAAACAGGGGACCCTAATATCGTACCTTAAAGAGTAGGATCCTCATTACGAGGACCCCCAAAAAAATGAGGTACCCCTATTTTGGGGTAACTCCCATATGAGTCTCTTTCTACGATGAGATGAGGCTCTTGAACTGATTGGAATTATTGGAAGCCCAAGTGGGTTTTGGCAGGTGTGGTTCTCGTGGGAGGTAAGGTCCCTAAGTAAGGTCCTATATACCTGGACCAGAAAAATGTAGCACCGTTTTGTAGTTGCCTTATAGTTTCTCAAAACTAGGATCCTGACCACAAAGCAGGCTACCCCGACACTTGCATCCTATGGTCTACGTCTGGGTATGAAGAAATGGCCGAACAATTTTGAATTCCTACACGGGCACGCCCCCAAATTTAAAAAGACCCTTTTGGCCAGGTCGCGCGGTGGCCACCATTCCGGTGCAGCCGAACGCAAGGGGCCTAGCCAGATCTAACCTTCAATCTTTTTGGGTCGAGGGGGGGTGCATGTTTGTCCGTGTACCAATACACATACACGCATACATGCATACACACACACACACACATACAACTTAATCCCATAAGCGAAAACGTATTTTGTTGGGGGGGGGTGCCAGTACTGCGGCTGCCGATTAAGTTTGGCGAGGTATGAGAGGTACTTGGTTTCATGTTTGGGGAGGCGGAAAATCTATGAGAGGAGTTTGGCCTTAGGAGCCGGGGGCTTGCGAGGCCTGGTACACTGCGGTTGTTAGGGAAACCATGAGCCGTAAACCCTAAACCTCTGCTGGAACATGAAGATTGGAATCTACTTAATCGTCGATGCCATGATCCTAGCTAGCACAGCCGGAATCTCGAGCTTAGATCTTCGTGGTCAGTTTGCTTGTTAAAGTACTCCCACCAGCGAAGTCCCAAATCATGAAGCCCCCCCCCAAGAAACCCTAACTTCCCAAGCGATAACCCGACAAAGCCCAAGACCCCCAAAAGTCTCAACCCGCCTCAGCCCTAAACCCTACTTGGAGGGTCGGGGGACTTAGTAACTGGTTACTTTAGGGACTTATAAGTACCATAACCCCAATTAGGGTCCCGTTTAGGGTACTTATAAGTCTACTTGCTACCTACTTACTAAGTCCCCCGACCCTCCAAGTAAACCCTTGACCCGAAAGCCCTAAGCCCAACCCGGGCGCAAAGCCCTACAGTAAAAGCCAGAAAGTTGGAATATTATTATCCTATACCCTTTATGGTAAATTATAAGGTATCCTACCCTGAAACCATATTCCAACTTTCTGGAGTTCTCTTTAGACGGTAGACCTGAAGGTGGCAAAGTTCCTGCTGATCGCCGCAGCCTTCCGCTGCATAAAGCGCGGGGCCAATGACTTTTGAGTTCAATTTCTGAGGGTTCAGGGATTCCCCCCAAACATCGTAACACCACTGAATTACGACATGAATCATTGGGTCGATGAGGGTTTGAGGTTGTTGCAGTATAATCTTCCAGACGACATTTTCGTTGGGATGAAGAGTCGCATCTCGGTTGCATGAATGCTGGGTTTTCCAAGCATGTCCATGTCTTGTGGGTTCACTGTTTGGGATTAGGGGTGTATATAGGTCGCTGCGATTCCTCAGTTGAGCCATTAGGCTTTCATGATCTTTCTGAAGCTGGTCCACTGCCATACCTAGAGCCTACATAATCTTTATCCGTTTCCAAATCTTCTACACCATGACAGATCAAACAAGCACTTGTGCATGCCTACACTTTGCAGCGTGTGAAAAACGTCTATGTGCCCTGCACGGGGCAATCCGCCTCGACATACTCAGGAAATCAGAGAGTATTTTGAGTTCTCCCAATTATAACCCTACTGATAAACTGCCTACCCTCAGCCTTTGTTATAAGCAATACCAGGTACCACATAGGTACTTCAAGGCCTAAGTATGTGCCATATGGGAGTTTCCGAAAATTAGGGGTACCTTCTTTTGGGGTCCTTAAAATAAGGATCCTACAATTTAGGGTACCATATTAGGGTCCCGTAATTCTCGGAAACTCCCATATGGGTACATGGAGCCTTCGGGTACTTCGTTCAGGCCAGCAGCCTGCATCGCCGCCTTCCTCTCCATTAAGAGCCCCTTTCAGCAGCTCGGCGATGATCACGCAGAAGGATGCCATGAGCCACTGGAGGTCTCGTGTATTTTTTGTTAGTTGTTTATACCTGTATATATGTATATACACACATATATATATATACATACATACATACATACATAGATACATAGATATATACATACATACATACATACATCTATATATATATATATATATACACACACATCTATACACCTATATATGGTCACGCGCTCCGCAGCCCCCCCCCCCCCTCCCCCCCCAAAGGTCAATGGTCCGGATATAGGGTGGGCCCCCCCCCTCCCCTGTGGTGTGGGGTGTGGGGTTCGTCTTCCCCCCGTGGGGTGGTTGTGGGGTTTTGGGTTTAGCTTAAGATTTTGAGTTTTGGGTTTACGGCTACAAGGTATAAGGCTTCGAGTCGACAAGGGCTTAGGGAGGACTTGCGGTGTATGCTCTGCTTTAGGCTTAGAGCCTGCAGTTAGGTGGGATTTAGGGTTGGGTGTAACAGTGTAATCAGTGTAGGGTTTTAAGTACAAGTTAAGGTTGCTCAAAACAGGGGCACGCGCTGCGTTATAGAGTTTACGGCTTGCTTGCGAACGGCTTGCGCGTGAGCCCTGGCCGCCAGCACCACCCCACCATCCAGCAGCAGCTCCAACGGCCCCCAGCCCCTTTCCGCACACGCCAGCCCCCCGAACGCCAGACGCCTGACCATATATGTGTGTATATATAGATATATGCCTATATACATATACACAATAGGCTCTTTAAACGCTAGAAGGGTTCCAATAATATACTCAGTCTTCCAGCATTGAATATGGCCTTGGAGTCAGGCTGCTGGTATTCCCAGTCATGTTGGAGTATGTCCGGGGATCCGACCCTAATCTTGTAGACCTTTAAGAAGGAAGATCCCTCGCCATCCGTTTCAACAGAAATGGCGCAACCAGGGTGAGCAGGGGTTACAGAATCCGGGAGCTTCACGCCTAGGATCCGAAGATGAGGAATATGTACGGCAGACCTCATAGTACTTCCAAATACGAATATGAGACTGCATGTAGGGGCACGTAGGTACTTGGGAATCAACCCCACTGTAACTATCAAACTTACTGTCCTCGCGCCACAACCTCAAGGCTCTTAGGGTAGTTAGGAGTCGTTGGGTGGGCACTAGATCTCAGGGCGCTTCAGGACGAATCAGACAGAACCTAGGGTAAACCCCTAAACTGCACTCCCGATGTGGAGATTTTCCTCAGAAGGAGTTATCCTCTTAGTGATACGGACTTGCATCTGAAGTTGTTGAGAGCTTGAAAGCCTAAACACTGACCCCTAAAATCCTGTAGTTCGACAGCAGAGGGCTGAAACTGCTTCAGGCAATCTGTCAACGAGAGCCAGGACAAGGGCAAGGCGCGCAAGATCGAAACGCTGGGGCACACCCATAGGCTCCATAGTAGTTCCTTGTTGGGATTACCTTATAGGATTCTAGGATTCTATATATGAACCCCACAAAGGAACTACTTTGGAGCCTCTTATAGGTACCCTAAACCCTCAACGGACTATAGTGACAGGGAGGTCCAGAAGGAATGGAAACCCACAGCACCGTTGCGCAGATTCGTGTCTATTATCAGTATCACTATGGAGTATCGTTGTTTTTGTTTACCTTTATGGGTATGTGTGTTACTATGTTTCTTCTTCTTATTAGTATTGGTATTAGTATTCGTATTAGCATTCGTATCAGTTTCAGTAAGCCCCAAAACGGTTTTAGGGTGTAGGCTTGAATTAGGGCGTTTCTCTTTATGAGTGCCTTTTTCACAGGGGCGGGGTGACTTATTTGTGTTTAGGTGCGGGGGTTCGGATTGTGGTTCAAGTTTCTTTGGTTACCGGAAGACCTGAAGGACCAAATGACCCTTAAAAAGTATAGGGCCCTATACCCAAATACTATGAATCCCTATAAGGTATATGAACCTTAAACCTTAAACCCTTTTAGGGGTCACTTCGTCCATAATATCATAAGGAAGCGTGTCGGATGCAATGTTTGTATGTTTGTTTTTTGTCGGCTGTTTATGTCGGTTGTTTATACGGCTGAGCACTTTGGGAGTTCGCTTGTTCAGGCTGAGCGGTTTCTTGTTTGGCGTGGCCGTGGCCGTTTCGAGGGGGCGGAGCAGGAACTCCCGCTTGTTAAACAGGACGTCGGGGTCATTGTATGGTGTGGTCCAGAGAGTAAGGCTCCCACAGCGATGGGCATGCGTGACAGCGTCCAGATGGCTGCAAATGAAGCAGAACTCCGGGCTTCCGCCAAGGTCCGCTACCATGATGCATTCGCAGCCTAAACCCCAAACCCAAAACCCTAAACCCAACCGCCAAGTCTTTGAAGCTGACGGGTCAGCTGACCGGATGCTATCAAACTTTGTAGCCCCCAGGCCGGAAGGCATTCAACCGAGAACTCCGGGTTTAGGGTTTAGCATTCAAGCTTTAGGGTTTAGGGTGCAGGGTTCAGGGTGATTCTTGCCCGAAAGAAACCACAAAGAAGCACGAAGAAGACAGAGGTGGGGGAAGCCAGAAACTACAAATACCTAAACCCCAAACTCAAAGACATGTCAAAACCCTAAATACCAAACCCAAAGTAAAATCAAAGCCCCCCAAATCCAAAGTAAAGTCAAATCCCTCAACCCCAAACCCCACGTAAAGTCCAAATCCTAAACCCCAATCCCAAAGTAAAGTCAAAACCCTAAACCCCAAACCCAAGTTATAAACCCTCAAAACCGAAGCCATATTCCGGCTGTGATCCAGCAGGTCACAGGCAAGGACTACTTCAACAAGGGCTTTGCATCAGACCACCTGACCATGATCCAGGCATACTTCGCTATGAAGCTGCGGGTTTTTGGAATGTAACCTTTCAGCTGCTGACGCTGTAGACTTCAGGTCCTCAAAAGGGTTTGGGTTTCAAAGCACTGAACCCGAAACCCTAAACCAGAAACGGTAAACCCTGTACTGAACCCTCAGCCTGCGCAAATTTGCGGTGCCGGGTTTTAGGCTTTGGAGGCTTTGAACTCAGGGCGCAGCTCTGCCTGCTCCTGAGTCACACTCCTGCAAAAGAAGCCTTAAACCCTAAGCCCGTTTAGGGTTTATAGGGTTTCAGCAGACAGCTATCAATGCAGGTAGCTTACCCAAGAAGATGCTACAGTCTAAGGTCTAGGAAAGTTTGAGGCTTCTAGGCCCTTGGCCAGGGCATATGGTACGAGAGTTAGGATGTTGGGTTCAGGGTATCCAACAAGGCACACAAGAAAGTGTTGCCTGTCCTGAACCCGCGTTACCTGTAGTCTCCATTGTAGTTTTTTTTGGTTAACCAAAATCTCTATTATAGGGTCGTAACAATAAAACTGGTTAGCCAAAAAAAGGAACTACCATGGAGACTATAAGTACTATAGTTCCCTTATAGACCCCTTTGAAAGGGAACCCTTTAGACCCTCATAAACCCCTATAATTTCTAAGACTTAGGCATCAACCGTTGTCCTCGTCAGTCGGCCAAGTCCCTGCACCTGGAACCTCTAAAACCCTACTTAGACGCCCAGAGGACTTAGTAAGTAGGTTATAAGTGGGGTTATAAGTACCCTAAATGGAGTTACCCCAAGTATAACCCTACTTCTAACCTACTTACTAAGCCCCCTGGGCCTCCAAGTACCCCTCATCACCAAACCCTAAACCCTGCACCTGAAACCCCCAAACCCTGAACCCTGAGACCCAAGCCCCGAGGCCCAAACCCTGAACCCTGAACTCTAAGCTCTAAGCCCCAAGGCCCAAACCCTGAACCCTGAGAGGTGAGTCCCAAACTTACAAATGCCAGTCCCCGAAGCGTACTCCCCAAATCCTAAACCCAAATTGCCGTGGCAATGTTTCTGCTATGGCTGCTGCCTCTGCGGTGCCTGGGTTCTGGGACTGCAGAGTTTGCGGATCTCAAGGAGGACCGCTTGAGGGTTTACGGGGACTTGTTCAAGCAAACAGTAGGTTAAGGTTTTCTTCTAGGGCCAGGGTTCCTTTTTGCGTACTCCTTACCGTGTTCTTTTCGGGGCCACTGTAAGTAACGCCTGGGTTTAGGGTTAAGAGTATGGGGTTTGGAGTGGGTTCAGGGTTCGGTAGCAGTATTTGCGGTTGAGGGCTGCTATTGCTTAAGCTGTCATTGGTTTCAGAATTCCGGCTCGAACCTGCACCACTTCCCTCAAACGCCACAGAACCTATCATCAGAGAACACCTGCGTAGACCCTGAATCCTAAGCCCTGAACCCTACCTAAACCCTGATTCAGCCGAAGCAACCCCTGAACTTTAAATCCGAAAGACCTAGTAAGAATGCACCGGAACTTCCTGAAACGTTGCAAGCCTCCCAAAGTACTGCACGGCATAAGGATGCCCGAACAACCAATCAAAAGTGCTATGTGGATGCCATACTATCTCCCTCAAAACCCTAAACCCTGAACTCCAATCATAACAGCGGCTTTGAGGGGTAAAGGGGAGAGTTTAGGGATTCCTGTACAATACAAAAGAGGCTGCCTGGATTTGGCCAGGAAGGTTCGTTTGGGAATGTGCAGCGAGGTTGCGAAGTAGTCAGGTCTTGGTTCAGCTAGTTATGAATACCAAGCTCAACCTTAACCCTGAATAACCTACCTTTTTCGGGTTCCTTAGTATGATTTCCTTATATAAGTCCTTAACAAGGTAGGTTCTTCAGGGTTAAGGAACTTCCTAGGCCAAGCAAAAAATCAAAGCTTAGGGGAAGCAGTTGGGGCTTGGGAATTGAAGGAGTGCCTCGACCCCAAATTGTGGTAGTCCCGAATCCTAAACCCGAAAACCCGTAAACCCGAAAACCTTAAAGCCCTAATGTAAAGCCACAAGAAGAGCGGCAACCTTGCACCGAGTCGACTGTGAGGCGTTTGAGTGTACCGGTGATGTTCACATTTTTCTCAGTCTAATTATTCAGGCCTAAATAAAGGCCTCAAATCCCTAATCACCACCTGTATAGAATCGTTTCAAAACCCCTGAAGAACCATTTGGGTGGTTGTCAATATTAGGGTCCCTTCTGGGGTCCTTATTATAATGCGACACCTAATATTCAGGGTACCCAAAAAGGTGCCATAATTTTGACAAATACCCATGTAACTACTATGTACCCTAAACCCTATTATGTACCCTAACCCCTAAACCCTAAACCCCTAAACCCCTAAACCCTAAACCCCTAAGCCCCTAAACCCCTAAACCCCTAAACTATTCAAGCGTCCGCATTGCATGGCGTCGACCTCCAAGACCTGGAGCCCGATGAGCTGGAACGTCTTGGCCTAGGGGGCCAAGATCTCCGTGAGCTTCAGGCAGTTATAAATAAAGGAGGGCCTGTTGTTTTTTGTGTTTTTTTCTGGTTTTGTTTTTTTGTTTTGAGGGGGGGGGGGGGGCGGGGTCGTTTTTTCTCTTCACCTCCTTAAATACCCCTTGATTAAAATCCCAAGCCCATTATTAAGGATTCAGGATGAGGATCGTGGTTATTGGCGCTTCCAGGTTCGGAGTTCTGTGTGCACAACACATATGTTGCGCCAAGACCTGTGCGTGCATGTTGCATACACAGATGCCCATGTGCATATATACTGACGAGCTGCCCGCCTGCCTGGCAGACTGACTGACTTTCTTACGTGCATGCCGACATAGGTACGTACATACATGCAAACATGCATGGCTGTATAAACGACAGATCACGGTTGGTACATAGGACGCATCTTGTGGTTCATGGTAACTACGTCTGCATGGAACCCATGAGTGCCAGAGCAGGAGATTTCGGCCAGAAGTAATAGCTACGACGCATGGCTTTTGGATTCCTGCTGACTCCAACTCCAATTTCTAAATCCTTAAGGCCCTAAGGCACTAAACTTTCTGGCTTTGCTGTCTTGGGCTTTCAGGGTTTAGGGTTCCAAGGTGCAGGATTTGAGGTCAGGGTCAGGGTTAGGGGTTTAGGATTTCTGAACTCTGGCCTGCAAGGTGCAAGACATGCGATCGAAGACTGAGAACAAATACTTGGCCCAATTCCTGGAAGGCCAGGTGTTGTCCGTGCATCCTTAACCTTGCGTTGAGGCCAAGCTTAGAAAGCTGGAGCAGAAGAGGCCGTGCACATCCACGTCATTAAACTCATTAATTCGTTCATTGTCTCGCTGATTCATTCGTTATTTCGTTTCAGTTGCATGACAGTTTTGTTTTGCTATCACTTCAGGCCATGCTCATGTCCGTTTCATATCATGTTATTCATTTGTCTCGTGCAGTTTCTTTCATTAAACTCACGCCATCTCAACACCGCAAACCCTGTAAGCCCTAAATTCAAAAGCCCTAAACCCTAAACCCCTAAACCCTAAACCCTAAACCCCTAAACCCTAGACCCAATCAGCTTAAGAATAACAGGGTACTTAGTACAGAGCACCTCGGACCTGGGTTCAGGGTGTACGGTTTCAGGGTTTAGGGTCTGGGGTTCTGGGTTTGGAATACCATACTTGAATACTTTTTTTGGTAGCTGTTCCTTAAAGGAACCATTCTGAAAGAAAAGTCTATACTTTTTTCTCCCTGCTTACTTCAAAGTCAGGGGTTTGGGGTTGAAACTATATATCATCTGCAAAGCATAAGCCCGAAAGCTTAATACCCCCGTACTCTGAACCCTAAACCACAAAAGTGGCTGAAACTCACGAGTCCGTGTCAGCTTTTGTGTGCTGGCTTCGAAACTCGCCGGGGCATGCTTACACAGTCCTCTGCCGGACAATACCAAGCCTCCAAACCCCGGGTCCTGAAACTTGTGCATGCCTTAGCACAATCCTAAACCCTAACCCCATAACACGCGTGGGCCCAACAACATCCAAGTCCTAGAACACTCCTTCTCCAGGGTGCTGGAGACTCGCCCACGTTCCTTTGTCATAGTTGGGTAACATTTTACATTTTTATCGGTACTGAACCCCAATAAGGAAAAAAAGTTAGAAATTTTTAATGCTATCCCAACCATGAACTAGGTTCATCAGTCATTGACGCCACAGCGGCTTTCTCCGAGCCTTTGTGTTGGCAGCCCTGGCAGGATTTGTGAGTTTCCGAAAACAGGGGACCCTAATACAGTACCCTAAATAGAAGGATCCTTATTACAAGGACTCCAAAATAAGGTACCCTTATTTTCGGAGACTCCCATTTGGCTTGGCGGTTTCTGAAGAAAGGTGCCCTCGACTGTTGGGGTTCCTGGAGAATGATACGGAGATTCAGAGTGTCGGGAACTTTGTATTTGGTCCTAACAATTCTTGCGGTCATATAAGGGTCATATATTGAATTATTTATGGACCCTGAATTTCGGGTTCGAGCAAGTGTCACAAAGGTTTAGGTTTGCTGACTCTTCGTTTGCAGTGGGATTGGGGCTAATGATTTTAGAGCCCCTGTCGTTAAGCTTCGTGTCGCAAGCAGTTGTTGTTGCTTCTTGGGTCCGGGCTGTACAACTACTCGAATTGCTACCTCGGCGACCATTGCAGGGGGCCTTGATTTGACTATCATTCTTTATCATGACGCTGTTAACCCATCCAAGTCGCCAATCCCCGCTACCGACCTCCCTTATCCTGAATTCTGAACCCTGCAAACTAAACCCTGAACCGCAGAACCCGGCACGCAGTGAACCTAGTAACCTTCTACAAAAACCAAAACTAAGCCTAACCTCCCTGCAAGGAGAGCAGGCCCCGCTAGAGTCGTGCGGCCCCTGCCGCTCGATTGAAAAGTTCTGCATCGCTCCTTCTGCATCTTTCTTGGGCTGAGGGGGAGGAGAGGATTTGGATTTTAGGGTTTAGAGGATGGGCTTTTGTTGGGAT